GTGGGCTCCCGGGTCGACGGTGGCCGCGATCGTTCCCGCGCCCTTCTCCTGATCCCTAGCAGGTGCTTTGTTGACTTCCTTATCGTGTCCTTCCGTTTCCACTAGCTGCAACTCTGCGTGCTTCTGCAACAAACGAATCTCCTGCTTAACGCATTGCTTCGACCGGTGTCTGTTTTTTGCCGCGGTCGTTGTCAAAGCTGCACTCGTGTGGTGCACATCTTTTCCTGCTCCCTAACCGTGCCTCTCTATTCCTTCTCTCTGCTTGCCACTGCATTATCCGCTCTTGGGCTCCTCTAGACGGCTCCGTCGCTTTAGCGTTGCTGGTGATTCCGCCAGCGGCAATCGCTTCGCCCAATTCGACTGCGCGGCACCCTGGCCCAGGTAGGAATTGTCAAAACATTTGCGCGGGCTCTCCTGGATATCCTGTCACCCGTTGGCTTGGGGTAGCCTCGTTGTTGTTTGCGGGGCAGCGGGCTGCGATGTGACCTCCATCGCCGCACTTGTAGCGCTCCCTCTGGCTGGTCGGCGCGAAGCCTCCCCGTGCCTCCTCCTCTCCACTTTGGGGCTTGGTTCCCGTGGTAGCCTCCTGGGGGATCCCCTGTGTAGCCTCCTTTGACGCAGTCCCCCGGGCAACCCTTGCAGCCGCGATATATTTGGCGCTTTTCATCCCCCTGTTCCACCTCCTCTTCCCTAGGCGGTCCTTTTAGCCGCGCATGCTTTGGCAATGCGCCCACCTCCTCCGCGCCTTAACCTTCGCCCGCCTCATTCGCGTCGTCAATTCCGCTCGCGTCTTCCCCGCTCCACAAGTGCCCCACTCACCGATATCTGCATCGCTGACTTGGCTGATCTCCATGGAACAGCCTCTGAAGAAGAGTTTTGGGTTGGTGTTGAGGTTTAGCGACTCTGGCGTCTGGAAGCAATCCTATTGCCAATCGTCGGACCAATCGCCGGCGAGAGTCGTGATACTTCTCTGTGCGGTAACCCTGCAGAGCAATTATTATGAGCGTGTGGACCCATTCTTTTACACGGACTGCACCAACGCACTCCGTTGCTCGAGTTGGGTCGCCACATCGTCCACCGGCTGAGGCTTCTCACGGTTCATGGCCAGGCTCAGCATGTCTCGCGTGAGAGCGCGCCTCCAATAACGGCCATACGCCGCTGATATTCTTCTAGTAAGCCATTAACCGTTGGCCTTCATGTAGACCCTCCAACTACCCACAGGGCCCCGTGCCTTCTCACATGTCCTTCGACAAGTACCACAGGAACTCGTCCAGCTTGGCGCGATCATATTCGTATACCTCATTGTCTCCATTTGCAGAATCTTCTCATTTTTTGGTCAGCGATGCCTTGGTGTGTTCACTGTGTGTTAACCTTTCGCTCGTGATTATGATGAGACCATCCTCCACGTCATCGGATAGCGCCCCATCCATGGCTTCGACCTTGTTGTTCAAAATATTGACACATACTTTCCGGTAGCCGTGCCCCATTGGGCGATAGCACTCCGCAGCTCCTCTCCGCATTATCTGGATTAGGTCCTGTCGCCTGAGAGCGTTGGGGTTTGTTTTCTCCTCCTCCTCCTCGTGCCCTGGCGCTTCCCGCCGAAAGTGTTACTTCAGCGATGTTGGTCGCATGTGCCAAGGCGTTCGCCTGATGTGGCAAGTATTTCCTCGCGTGCCCGTTCAGGTTGTGGAGCTGTCTCTCGCAATACATGTTGCGGAGAACATTCCGGTTGTAGTTTATATGCAACGTTGTGAATGTTTCATCCTTGCCAACAGTCCTGGTGCCATGCGTGGCACTGCGCTCAAACAATCAGCTTCACGCACCCGTGGTTGGCTTTGAGCTCCGTGTTGACGTACCTGGAACCCCTTGTCCTCGTAACCGACATTGCGTGATTATGCGAACAGGTGTGTGTGTGTGTGTGCCTATAGTGTTCCAAGTTTCGCACTTCCAATAACGATGCGTCGTAACACGGGTCGCTCTTGCCAGCGGCCGCTGCAGCCATCTCTGCTCTGAACCAGTGGGGCGAACCACAGGCTCCGACACCATGAAAGTATCGTGGGAATTTGTTTCCCACCGAGAAGGCAGAAATGGCACTTGCGCATCACAGAGCACAACGCACCACAGCTGCTATCCCAAGTAGTGGATCTTCAACAGCACGCGAACTCTAAGGGCTTCTCACCCAGTCGCAACAATATTAACTAAAACCTCCCATTACTCCTTTTCCCTCTGCCCCTCCTCCTCTTCTGCCCTTTCCTCCTTTTCCCTCCCCCTTCTTGTCCTTTTCTTCCTCCTCCTCCCCCTCCTTGTCCTCCTCCTCCTGCCTCCCACCTCCCCCTCCTCCTCCTCCTTTCCCTGCTCCTGCTCCGCCTCCTTCCTCCCTTGTTCCATTTCCTTTTCCTTCTCTCTCCCGCTGCTTCCTCCTGCCTCATCATCCATCCCCCCTCTCCTTCGTCCTCTGTATCCTCTTCTCCTTCTCCTTGGATTTCCCTGGGCCAAGACACGGTAACTAGGACGAGAGGTATATATTGACACAATTTGCTATGGAGGTGTTCTGGGGATTCCGGGATTTCTCGAAGCCTCCGCGCGGGGTGCACGTTCAACGTGTCACGTTGCGTCGAATATTGTTTGCTCGGCCTGGCGAGGCTGGTCGGTCACCCATTCGCAATCGAGTATTCGCCCATCAGGGATTGTTTGGCACTTGCTGATCCCGCTTCTCTTGGAAACGGTACATTCACACTATTACTTTGCAGGAGCTATTTGCGAAAGGAAACAAGCCTTCAGTAAAGTGCTGTTGCTCCGTTGCTCGATAACCGCGGCGGCGCGTCCGAATTGCCGAGACGCGCCGTGCGCTCGCGCCCTGCATCTTCTGTCAAGGAGCATCTCCAAGTCGCTGAAAAACATGTCCAAGGGTCGCCGCGACCCGATGTAACGCCACCCTGACTACTCGAGCAACGAAAATATCGGCAACGAGCATCTCGTTGCCGAGCGCGGGGGGGGGAGGGGGGGGGCGTGGCGCCCCGCCCGCCGCCCGCCGCCGCGCCCTGCGCGCCTCGACAGATTCCCCAAAACCTAGTGAGGCAAATCGCGCGCGACTGGAAATTCCCAAACTCGTTTTTGATAAACTCCGCAACCGTTTTTGCTACAAACGCGGACATGGAACATTCTACAATTTGGAAATACTTTCCGGGCGGTCTGACGGGCACGACCAACTGATTCACGCACCGCGCCGCGTACGATTGGGCGCAGCGCGCGCCGCGCCCTGCGCCCGCGAACAGCAGTCGAAGGGGTCACCTCGAAAATCGCGCCACGGCAGCTGCGACTCGCGGACTCCCCAAGAGCAAAACATAATGCAACTTGGAATCTCCGAAGGCGCTCCGATGCTCGCAAATGCACCGCGAACATCACGCAAAGAACCTGCGCGACAGAATGCGTTCGACCATTCGTCCCTGGAGCCTGGGCGGAAGGACGGTGCACCTGGAACTCTTGAAACGATCAGTAACAATACTTCATGCTCCTCTGAATAACGCCTGGGGAATCGGTGCTGAGCACCGAGGGCTTGCGCCGGATCTCAGCCAGGCTGCGCACAGACGGATCTCCTCCTCCGTTGGGTGGGTTTGCTGGAGTTGCGCCTGAGGGGCGCCAGGTGGCAACTCGTGGGCTTCCCCGTGCGCAGGGCGGGTGTGGCGATGTTTCGTCTGGTGGGCGGCCGCGGGCGCGTCGTGGACGCTGCACAGTTTACGCCCCAAAGCTTACTCCAGATTGCTTGCAGCACGTGGTTTGCACCACACAGCTCGCGCCACCATAGCGAATACATCATGATTTACATCGCGTAGTTTACACAGAATAGCTTGCACTACATAGCTTGCACCACATAGCCAACGCCAAACAGCTTGCACCATGCAGCGCATAACTCTCTTAAGCATCCACAGTGCAGCAACTACGGGCAGCCCCACCCAGAGACCCCTCGACAGACGCACCCAGCGCACGAGGCGCCCTCGAGACGCCCGCGGGCACCCACCAGCCGAAACCTCGACAGACCCATCCGATGAGGAGTCAGAACGTAAACGAAACACACGAGCGCAAGCACAGCTTGGGAGAAACCTGTGGGCTTGTGCGCCGCCCAGATCAGCGCCACCATTGGGCCCAGCGGCCCCTGGGCCCCCGCCCCCCCCCCATCAAAGGAACCCCACGACAACGCGGGCCCCAGCGATGTCGCGCCCCCCCCCCCCCCTCCCGCGCCCGGGCCCCAGCGGCCCCTCCCCCCTGGTCCCGCAAGAGCTCGCGCGGGTCTTTCCGGCGGAGCCCCGCCAGGCCCACCCCATACTTGAAGGAGAAGGAAGAAATATGATAATCAACGACGTTGACAATGCACACTTCTCGCTAAAGATGCTTGCGCACATCGCGCGCGAGAGAGCGAAGAGTGTCGCTGTGAGTGCTGCTATCCCGCTTGGGCGCAACGCACGTACACGAGCGGAGTATACATATACGAGCGGAGTATACATATACGGTATATGTATACTCCGCTCGAACATTCGGCGAAAACGGGGCCGCGTCCGAGAAAGCGAGATGTCCGTCTGGCCCACGACGCGCAGCAGACCTCCCCAAAAAACTGTGTTCCCGCCAGGGTGCGGCGCACGTCCCGTCGGGCCTTCGGCTGCCCGCGCATGGGGCCGAGCGGTGCTCTCGCCGAACCGGAGCGTCGCGCAGGGATTTGCGGGGATTTTATGATAGCTCCGCTCCCTTTATGATAGCTCCGCTCCGCTTTTCCCTCGCCAAATCGTCGGACGCGGGGCCGTGCGCGCGCGGACGCCTTCCGTCTGCCAGGCTGAAGCGCACGGCTGGCCAAATTTCACTGTGTGCTGGCGTTTTGTTCTTATATGGTGGGAGGAGGCGTGGAGGTGGGCGGGGTCCGCTGACTCGTCTGGGCTGGCTAGCCTGGCCCCTCCTCTTCCCCGTCCTCCTCCCCCAGGTCTAGCCCAGGGACTTTTCGAGCAACTTGC